CAGCTGGCTTCACTGCTTCCTCCACTTCGCTAGCGGACCCTGCGGTCTTCCGGACCTTCGGCGAACAATTGGTGACATCTTCTTCTTTGCAAAACTAACCAACTAGTACTAGTTGAAATTTGAAGAAGGAAGAAAAGGGTAAACCTTTTGCAAATAGCATTAGGGGAAGGAGAAAAAGAGGAACTTTCGCAAATAGTTTTATTTATAAAATATGTCCTTAGGTTTTATCCACTTGGCTTATCCTACAGTCGAGATGGCTCTGATACCAGCTTGTCGCGACCGGAAAAATTGCCTTTTCCCGAACGCTAGTGTATTAATCCCCGTCCCAGGAAAAGCCGGGGTACACCACACAAACATGATATAAAAGACACATCTTTATTATATCGATAATATTTACATTATTACAAAGGCGCTTCAGGCCTGGCAATAAAAAATAAACAGCAGCGGACTAGCGGGCCTACGGCTCCATCTTCACAGGCGCTCAACTGGGGTATAAGCCAGGACCCCACCTAAGACATCTTCTCCAAAGCTTCTCTTACTGAAGAGGGGAAAGATTGAGCAAGAATGAGTACAACCACAGTACTCAGCAAGCCACACCGGAGATGCATAATTAATGCAAGGGAGTACAAGGGGATAATAATATAGGGGTTAAGTTTTGCAGTAAACAGCATTTAAAAGTCACTTAGTTGCCCAAAGATATTTTGTAAACACGATCCTAGAGCTATACAATATTATTAATCAAGGCCGTGGACCCACATGAACCTGCCTTAACCCAAGGCCTACGATGATTCAGACCGAACTGGCAACCCGACCCTGGGTCCCAGCTCGTCCCAAGCCAACCCAGGCCAACCATTCCACATTTTAGTTGTTAAGCAAATTTTAAGAATTAAAACACTAACTTGGGTACATTGCTAGGCTTGCCCATAACCGAGGGCGCGGCTATTCGAATAGATTATACTCTGATCAGAGGTGTACATCTTTACCCACAAGACACATCTTCCTCACGTGTAACCACGTGCCACATACCACCACGGTATACGGACGGAAGACGTGACATAGTTCCCAACCCATCCTAGCCATAAACAAGAGTACCGACCCAACCCCACCTATGGCCGGAACCTCCGGGACAGGTAGGCAGGATTGAGCCCTTAGCAGCAGGACACCAGCCCTGTGCCATGACATCTCGACTACCGGGCCGCAGCTCGTGTAGCCTTCATTTGTCCTAGAGATGTCCATCGACCCCCGACTTCGTCCATCTCCATCCGTGTACTTTTATTTATAACCAGACTGAGCCACAAACTAAGCCTTACCCACTAGACATGTGGAAGTACGGTAGTGCTTTGCAACAGAGGCCCGAGCTTAATCCTTATAGTGGCCGGGGTGCTACTTCCCACAACTGGCATGCACCCAAACCCCACCGGAAAACAGGTTTTAGGGGTTTTGAAAGAGGAAGAGAGGTGTATGTCCAATTCCACCATAAGCCAACCATTCCATAGTGTCCAAATGATATGAGAATTCCCAAAGTCTAAAGTTATAAAACCACCTAATGTTGCCTAATTAACCAGCGAAGCATCTACCTAAGTTCATACTAGTGGAACCATAAATAGAGTACCCACTAGTTGGGGTTTTATTTTCCTAGGGTGAACAAGGTAATAATAACAATAGCAATAATAATGTCTTAACAACGATAAAAAGGCATGGCTAAATAAAACAGTGATAACGCGGGAATTTAAATAAAGCGATAATGCAATAATTTAAATCAAAATAATTTTATAAACTGGGATTCAATATGTTCAAGGATGATGTGACTTGCCTTGCTCAGAGAGAACGGCCTTCCGAACCTTCGGCGACGACCGCGAACCCCGCTTCGGGAACCTCCGGAACGACAGAAGCTACGCGAAGCACACAAGCAAAGCTACAAGCCTATACAGAAGCAATAACAATACATAAAAAGAAAGCACAGGGTTCTTTAGGTTATAACAAACATTAGGAGACTTGAACGGATCGATTCGGAGCTCGTATGACCAAGATATGATCATCCGAAGTTTAATGCTGTTATATGGAGATTTGCGGATTATTATAATTAGGCTTTGCGACTATAAAACATGTGTAAGCGCTAGCCTAGAAAAGACAGGAAGGCTGCGCCGTTGACATGCGGACCTCACATGTCAACAAAAAGGACCGCGGCAGACCGAGTACACAGAGACGGTCCACGGGTCGACGGAAGCGGATCCCGTGTGTCAACCGAGGCGAGTGGCCGACAAACGGACTCCACTAGACACCACACGGGTTGCACACGTAGAAACCACGCTGCTACCGAGCGGGCACACTAACACGGTCACCACACGCACAAGCGAACGACTACCGACACCGGTACACGGGTACCGGGGTCGACAACCGCACGACGGGCACGGGCGACACCGAAAGGACGAGGACGGGGCAGCGAGAGGAGAGATCCTTACCACCACGCAACGAGGCGAGGGAACGACAACGACGAACGGGCGCGGCGGAGGCGGCCGGGAACGACGGAGACGAACGGCGAGGGGACGACTTCGGCGGCGATCCTTGGACGAAGGCGAGACGCGGCCGGCGCAACGCTTGACGATGCGGAGCCGAGGACGAAGACGACGACGGGGCTGCAGCGGCTCGCTTGACGAACGCGGACGACGGACGAGAACGGCTCGATGGAGGGACGAACGCCACGACGACCGGGAACGACGGGAGGACGACGACGACGACGACCGGGGCCGGCGAGGAGACGACGAGGGCAGCCGGCAGCGGCTGCACGGAGGCGAGGACGACGTGGAGCGCGCCGCTGCGAATCCGACGACGGAGGCGGCACCGCGAGACGACGAGCCGGCGAGGATGAACGGGGCGGCTGAAGGGACGTCGGCGACGACGAGGGTGGAGGCCGGCACGGGCGACGGCGTTCCGACGAAACAGAGGAGCAGCTGGAGGTGAGGACAACGCTGTGACGTCGACGGAGGAGATGGCGACGTCGATCGGCGTACCGGCGACGTACAGGAGCCGACCGGAGACTGGGAGGTACTGGACGCCGACGAGGAGGCCACGCCGGCGAGCTTCGGGCGAGGAGGAGGTGACGCCGGGGAAGGAGACGATGCCGCGGTGTCGAAGGAGGAGACGGCGGCGTCGATCGGCGCACCGGCGACGAACAGCAGCCGGCTGGAGGGAGTACAGTGGCACCAATGCCACTGGTTGCCGGCGGGGACGCGTCTCCGGTGGTCTCCGCGTGAAACGGAGGCGACGCCGGTGGAGGGGAAGCAGCTGCGACGCTGCTGGCGGCGACGGCGCGACCGGACGACGCTCCGGCGAGGAGGGAGAGGCGGCTGGAGGCGGCCGGCGCGAAGGAAAGAGAAGGGCGACGGCGGGAACGTAGCTCCGGGGGTCTCCGCGGGAAACGGAGGGCAAGCCGGGGAAGGGGAGGCCACTGCGACGCCGGGAGAGGCGACGGCACGGCCGGACGGTGCGCGGGCGAGGTGGCACAGGCGGCTGGAGGCGGCCGGCGGCGTGGGAGAGAGAGCAGGGCGGCGGGGAGAGGTGGTGAGACCACGGGAGAACGCGGGAGGGGGCTAAAACTGGAGAACGGATCGAGGGGGGTTCCATTTTATGGCGGAGGGAAGCGAGCCGAGCACGGGAGAGGGCGGAACGGCGACGGGAATGGCGGCCGGCAGCCATGGAAAGCGGCCGGAGAAGACGCGGGCGTTCCCGGCGATAGGGGGCACGATCCAAGGGGGAAATTGGGAGGAATTGAAGAGGAATCAATGGGATTTAAAACCCCCCAATTAATTTTGGAATCCATGGTTCGATTTGCGCGGATTTGGAGGAGGAACGGCTCTAGGTTTGCACGGGAGAGAGAGAGGAAGGAGGCCGGGCGGGAGGAGGACGACGCTCCTGGCAGGCGGGTCCCACGCGGGGCGCGCGGTCACCGCGCGTGCGACGCGCGTGAGGGGGGGGCGGCTCGGGAGGCTGGGTGGGGCGGCTTGGGCCGGGCGGCCGGCCCAAGAGGAGAGGAGGGAGAGGTGGCCCGGGGAGAGAGGGAGGAGGGAGGGAGCTGGGCCGGGAGGGGGAGGGAAGGCCCAAGAGAAGGAGGGAGAGAAGGAGAGGGAGAGAAAGAGAGGGAGGAAGAGAGGACTTTGGCCGCGGGCCGAGAGAGAGAGGGAGAGGACTTTGGGCCAGACTTGGCCCAAAGGGAAAGAGAGGGTTATTTTTAGGTTTTTCTTTTTAATAAACTCTGATAATTGTTTTTGTTGCTTAATAATTATTTCCGGTGCTCTGAAAATTCAAGTAAAATTTGAGGGCTCCTTTTAGACCAAGGAGAATTTAACAAAAATTCTCCGGGCCTCATTCGAATTTTTCTTGTACGTATTTTAGTGTTTGCCAATTTCTTTTCGAATTTTAATTAATTCTATTATTCCTTTTAGCGAATGATTTTTAATTCGGGATGAATTTATCAGGACGTGACAAATCCACCCCCCTTACAAGAATCTCGTCCCCGAGATTCGAGGAGGCTAGCAAGAAGATAGGTTGGGCGGTCTTCTCTTCTTGGTTGACTTCTTATGCTCCGTCTTCTATAACAAACTTGCCTAACAAAACATCTCCACTCTGGACTACTTGGCCCGATCCATTGTTGCAGATGGAATCTTCTCTTCACCTGACTTGTCCCTGGTTGAACCTTTAGCTGACTTCGATTGGGTTGCGGCACTTGAAGATGGGGCTTCAGTTCCAGAACTTCGCATAGTTCATATCTTTGGAGTCAACCTCATACAAGTTACTCACTTCATGTCATGCGTCGAGATCAGCTCGACATTACTAGGATACCATGCTTGTCATCATGAGAATATCATGCTTGTCATTTACTTCTAACTTGCCACAAACTGCCTCATATTAGCTTTCCTGGTCTCCGGGTGCTAGCTACTTCTGCTATTCGATGCGAGGGTCGATAACTTTGCCTTTGAATGATGTTTCTCAACAGAACCAACTTATCCCACTATTATCTTCATGTTGTCAACGAATTTTTTTTCTCTCAATGACAAGGTGACTGTTGCAGGGCGATTACTGTCAGGAGTCTTCCTTGTGTGATGCAGAGCATGTTTCTAATTATCCGTTATCAATCACCTTTCGGGCCTATATCTTTCCTGCTAGAGAACATATTTGCCAATATCTTTTATCAATCATCTTTCGGCCTATCTCTAACAGGTGGTACTCTTTAATGTGGGTTGCGGACACTTCTAGTGGCAATGAGGTCCTTTGGCCTGCTGCCTTTCAGTGAAACCTTGAAGTGTTTCGCCAAAAGCTATACTGACTGTCTTTGCCTTTGATCCGAAAAAGACACTTCTGAATCTCTTAGTCCAAACAAATGTCTCTTTGGTTAATCGCTTGATTTTCTTTTCCATCATCAGGTTGGTTATTAACTCGAGGTGCAGCACTTTCCACTTCATCTACTTGATTGCATGTCTTTATCTCAGCATCTGGAAAAAAAAAGAGTTCCTTCGATTCAATACCTCATACCCAAAACCTCATACCCGACCCCCGACCTGCCCATACCCATACCCCGACCCCGACCCCCGACCCATACCTGATTGAGTACTGTCATCCTTGCTTGATTGAGCTCTACCAGCCTAAAATGATACAAACGTTAATTAATCGGAAGGCACAAAACTTGAGAAATGAAATGTTAGATTTAAAAGGTTTTACCTGGTCAAATAATCTGTCAAGCAAATCCAGATGATGTCGACACCTCAAATTGTAATCCTGAGAATCTCTCGATCTCTGCAAAATAAATACTCATAAGAGAATAGTAAACGTTTGTTTGCAAAGAATTTAAACAAAAGTGTAAGTAATATTACCATTTTAGCCCACAATTTTCTGATGTTTATGATCTTTTGTTTTATATTCTTGACACCGTAGGTTGCTCCCTGATCACACATCTTCTGTTGGATCAACCGATAAGACTCTTCCGACAACTCACCAGAAGCCTCGACTTCTTCCACACAATACTGATATAAAATAAGTGTGTCATCATCGCTCCACGTGACCCTGGGAAAAAAAGATGTTGCGAACCTCTAAAACAGACTAAAAGCTGAAAAAGCTAGAGCATCTAAAAGCTGAAAAGGCAAAAAGGAATGCAAAGACTAAACTATTCAGCCACAAGACTTATTCCATCATTCTCCCCCCTAAGTCTTGGGCGTCGTCTTGTGAGAAAGTTGTGCCATACCGATCCTGGAGCAGAGCTCGAGGAACTTGATCCTCCCAAGAGTCTTGGTGTTGATGCTCCCTTCCTCCGGATGAAGTGGTACCTCACCCGGATGTGCTTGCTCCGTTCGTGAACGAGAGCAAGTTCCTCGAGCTCTACTCTAGGATCGGGATGGCCCAACTTTCTCACAAGACGACGTCCAAGACTTGGGGGGAGAATGATGGAATAAGTCTTGTGGCGCGGAGGGGCCGAACCTCGTGCGGGCGAGGCTGTCGGTGACGGAGGTGTCCTCCATCTCAGGCTTCTTAGTACTGCAAAGTGAAACATTTGATGAATTAAGATTTACTAGTAATAGGCCCGTGCTAACGCTACGGTGATATTTTATAATGCGAATCAAACAATAATCAGCATCACAAAGCTAAAATAGCTTTCTTGCAGAATTTAAAAAAATTCATGTGTGCAGATATAACAAGATATATGATGATCAGCCTATTGAAGATTAAAACAATCATATCAATATATAGCATGACTAAACATTTGTGGTCTTCCAGGTTAACAATCAAATACAAAAATCCTGACTCTTTAGAAGCTGCAAACTCATAGTATCACCTCTAGCTCCAACCAGTATTTACAACAAATTCTGTGATATTCATCATCTCAAATATTAATAAGCTCACCTGTCAAAAAGTATGTACTGGTCAACGTAGAAATAAAAACATGGCAAACCATGGCAAGATTTTTTTTTTAAGTCGGATCACATATAAGCAAAAAGATTTTTAAAATAGCAAATGCTTGTAGGGGCAGATAATAAGAACAGTTATAGATTATTACAAACTTATACCCGATAAAAAAAGACAAATTTTTGTTGTGTAGAGCATATCTTGAATTAAAATTACTGTTATTTTACTCTATATATTTATTCCGGAGCACATCATAATAATGTAGTAGATCGTTGCATAAGGATGCTAATTAATTGTTCTAAGCACAACGTTTATATTTATGCAAAATGTCACCTTTTTGTTAAAATAGTTTCTAATATGACAAATGATTTCGTTACAACTTACAAATGGTTTCTCTTTATTATGCAATATATATGAATGATATTTTTTTAATAAAAATTCTAGCAAGATTCATTTAAAATCAAAGCAACCTCGTGTACTTAAATTGCATCATAGAAGATACTAAGAATAAACAATTATGCACGATTTACCTTGCTACCTCATAAGCACACCCAAACTCTGGAAAAACAATGCCATTTTTTTTTCCAAATAAGACATATCTGCTCACAAAAAAGGAACCCACTTGGACATAAGTTAAAGCGCAAAGTTTCAAATCAGCCTTGGGTCACCACTGAACCTGTGTGGGATTGGGTACTTCTGCAAAATCTATATATTGAAACACATCCTCTAATTTGTAACAAAAACTAAAGCATTCGACGAACTAAAAATCTGTTAAATTAAATTACTGACATTCAGTTCGATGAATAAGCAAAGAAGCAGAATATAAACATCCTGATTATTCTCCTACAAAATAAGGATCCCAAAAGATGCAATTGCCTTCCAATCTTTTAGTAGTCATTGCCTGGATGAGATCGGGTGACAAAGCAAGAGAGGAATCTGAAGGTGGATAACATCTCAAGTTTAGTAACACGAAACCTAGAATCATCACGCAGAGGGTGACCCAGGGCTACATCAGCATGCACCATGCCGTGTGAGGTCAAAGCGGCGGCCCACACCCACCCCGCCATCGCCAACAGCACCCCGCTGACAGGCCCGCCGCACCCACAGTAAAAGGAGGTTCCTTTTTAATGGTTCAAATTACAAAATCAAGTCCACCATACGACATGAATGAAATCTATTATAAGTAGCAACGCTGACACTTCTTAGGTTTCTTTAAATAATTTAATCCAATCATATTTGTAAATCTTACCATCTGAGCCACCAAACTAAGGTATATAGGAAAAAAAATCTGCATTCAGATTTTACCCGACATTGGCATTTGAACACAAATACATAATTTCATCTGCAGCCATATACAGTCTGTAATATATATTATGAACATAACAATCTGCATCCATCTCCTTACTCAGGCAACCAGTATCAACAGGATAACATAAAACTTCAGAAATTTGGAAACTAATGTAATGCGAATATGCAGTCTTCTAGGATGAAATACTCACAAATCACTGAAGATGCACAGGATAAGCTTCTCGTTTCAGAACAGTAATGCACTATCGTATCAACCTTGAAAACCATTGAATGCATACCAACGAATTCCAGTAAGAAAAAAATGTAAAGCTGAAAAAAAAACCCATACCTTTGGCCTCTCCCCCAAGCCCTACCACTTTGATGGAGCTGTTTGATGAACCAACAAGCACAAGCACCTCTTCTTTATGAGACTCGAGAGATCCAACTGGTCCTACTGATAGTTGAGGGGATAGCATTAACAGCAAAGCATTCAATGAAAAATGTTATACAAGAAATCATGATATAAAAGGTGTTATAAAACAACCATGTCATTTAAAGACACCAAAGCTACATATCAAATTTATTTGAGACAATACTATGTGATCATAAAGAGTAGACAGATATGGAGAGTAGAATATACATAGTTCGAGATAAAGGAATTTTAAATCCATGCACACAATAAAGGAATTTTTTTTTGACCAAACGAGGCATTCAATAGCTGCAAACAAATGTTAAGAAATTGGCTCTCAAAAATTGCATGATTATGACATTAATACTCATTCAGCTGCATGACTGTATAGCCTCAAGTGCATTTTGCCTGATTTAAAATTAATATTCAAGCTGCATGACTGTCTACCCACAGACATTTAAAATTGCATGACTGCATGACTCTACCCGTGCTAACGCTACGGTGATTTTTCATCTAACCCTACATACTGTATATAGTTAACCGTAGTGTGAACTTAAATTTACATCACAAACATAAGTTTTTATTCATAAAATTTATACATCCTTATAAAATAACTTGACCGAGCAAATTTGCCACGGGCATAATTGAGAGCAGTTTGTCGTAGAAAACTAAAAATGTCAGCCAAAACATCAGCTCGTAAAAATTAACAACCGGCGGCCATAGGGGTGCAGATTAACCATTCAATTGCAACACATTTACACATCTAAATTTATGAATATGTGCATGATCAGGATTAAGAAGCAAATAATACACATGCATTTTGGATGCTCTGCCACTTGAAATTTGTAATTTATTTTCCTTAGATAAAGCATGTAATTTCTATGCAAGTACTGGTTTACCTTTTTTAATGTTTGCCGGTGGCGGCGCGGTGGAGAAGGGGGCAGCGGCGGTAGAGCTTGCGGCGAAGGGGTGGCGGTGGAGCTTGAGGTGTCGGGGACAGCAACACGTTGATCTGCGCGGGGCGGCGGTGGAGCTTCCGACGGGGAACAGCAGCG